TGAAGAATACCACAAAAGATGTTGGGGCTAGAAACCATGAAATATAAACTAGAAATCATGAAAGAAGAAAAGAATCAAACTTTAAATAATGAGAAGCTTTAAATTGTGAAACTTGTAAATTATGAGTTGAATTTTTAAAACAATTTGGGAACAATAAAGCAAAAACCAGGAAAATGAAATAGAGAAATTTGTGTAGGGGTAGGGCTCGACAAGTTGAAATTAAGGTCAAATTTAGTGGCATTTTTGTAAATAAACACCACTAAATTATTCTTAATAATTTATTTATGGCATTTATGTACATAAATGTCGCTAATTTTTATTGATTAGTGACGTTTTGAGTTACAAATGTCGCTAATTCTTACTTTTTAGTGGCGTTTTATATTACAAATGCCACTGTATAAATCTTTAGTTGTGTTTATAATAAAAACACTGTTAACTTTTAAAAATACAAAACTTAGTGGTGTTTATTAGTAAAACACCTCTAAAAAACTATCACTATTTAACCATTTTCATGTAGTGTTAATTCTACTTTTGTTTCAAGTTTAAGGAGGATATGGTTCCCACAGCACAACTTTTGTGTCTTTTGAAGCGGAGGCCATCAGCTTGCAATCAATTGAGTATGAGACAGAGTTGCACTGCAAGAGTAGATGCTTTATTTCTAAACTGTAATACAATAAATTAACTGTTTAAAATCACCAACATTAATGAATTAATGCGATTGAAGAATAGCATGACACACTATGAGTCAAAATTACACAATTATAGCTTGTCAGGACTACAATTACACTGAATGAGATCATACCGATAGTTTGAAGGAAAATAATAAAATGTAAGAATTTCGACCTTAGAATCTTCATCATATCATAACATGATGATATTTACGAATTGTTAGAGGACTTCCTTTGTGATAATTGTATATTCTAACCCTGCCATCATGAATGAAATAAAAAGGGAAGTTAAAAGCAACTCTTTGCAAATAGCTATCTAATATATGATCACCATGCAACTGGTTACATATAATATATATTTCCTAGTTAAGTCTTGACTTCTAAGGAGAAATATAGAACAATAACTCAGGAGTTGTATTATTCCAAGAGTTGTATCAGGGTTATTCCAAACACACTTTCTCACCAATTTAGCTTTAAAGTTTTAAATTGCTTGAAAAATTATCAATGAAAAAAAATTCGTAACTATTATTACATTCCTATTAAATTGAAATCTACAAGTTTTTTTTTTTTTTTAAATCTAAGACTAGGAGAAAAAGATTAACATATGCTACCATAAAACTTAAAACATAAATATCTGTAGTACAAAAGAACACATATATCCAAATAAAATTAAGAGGAAAATTTGTGAGAAAAAAGTAAAAAAAAAAATTGTAGTTCCAAGAAAACCAATCAACATGCAACTATAACAATAATAATAAAAAAAAAACTTTCCTTACCACTTTTTTTATTTATTTTTTCTCTTAATTTTGAGTTGAAACGGGCAACAACATGACTCTAATGAAGTTACAACAACTAACAAAAATCCAAAAAAGAAAAAACTTTAATAGAAAATTTTTAAAAATATTAAAAAAAAAAAGCTTTCCAAGAAAGGGCAAACTTTTTTTTTCTTTTAATCTTTGCACTAGGTTTTATTTTCACCAAAATTTTATTCCTCTTCAATAATCTTGTACATAAATAATTAAAACCTAATAATCAATAATGCATGAAAAATAAAAACAATAAAATAAATAATAAACATGCACACAAATAACAATATCAAAATCACAAAAAGACTGATTATTAACTTTAATTAGCGACTAAAAATATAAGAAATCCAAGATATAAGAAAAAGTCAAGAACATAAAACTGAAACTGGCTTTAAGTACAACATTAGTAGCATTGCTATCCATCATCGTATCTTCAACATCTTGGCTTCGTCTACGATTCTAGGCTCCGACACCTACCTTCTCGATGGTAATACCATCGAACTCCACTCAGCATTTGGCCCGAGAGTCTTGCTTTTAATCCCAACAAAGATGGCTCATATATTGGCATTGCTAATGGTCGGATTTAAAGAAGAAATGCAGTGTATAATAGAAGAAGACAAAGAGAAAAAAAGAAAGATAAAGGCAAAGAATATGAAGTAAAGTAATTTTTTATGATCCAAATTAACCCTCAATTTTTTTAAAGATATAACTGAGGAGTATAAGAAATTAGAGATTAAGAGGTGGAGGACATCTTTTATTAATAGTTGTAAATTATAGATTTTAAATTGAACATTTAGATAGAAACGTCCAACTTATGGGTGGAATTTATAATTAACGAAAGACCATGCGCCCGATGGGTCAATTTTGCTCTTGGAAAAGCCTTACGCATCAATGCCTGCAAATCTAAGGGAAATCCTATTTTGTCAACAATATCGGAGAAGATGTAACTCTTCAATAAATAAAAGGAACATGTAAAATGCAGGTTGTTGGACCATTTTTCAGAGATTTTTTGTTAGGTCCCAATTTTTAAATGTCTTCACAAAGTATGGGTTTAAACAATTTTTTAATGTAAGTGATTAGCCGAATGGTGGTGACATATTAAATTTTTAAAAATATTTACTGAAGACACAACAAAAAGTTATTAGAGATAAATTGGAGACAAATGCAATCATTTTGAATTTAAATTATCTTAATAACTAAAGTTTAGATTTGGATTAGAATAAAATTGGCAATTAAATTAAACATTTATAATATTAAATTCAGATTCTAACAAGTTTTGGTCAAAATCTGTCTCCGGTTTGGAAACATTCAACACAACTTTTTTGAGGAAAACAATATTTTAGAGAGTTAAAAAAGGAGACGATATTTTAAAGTAATTTATGTGCAATTCCAACTGGTTAGAGAAGCTCATAATTCATATATATCTTCCAATGAGGCCCAAAATAAATAAAAGTAAATGAAGCATTTATTATAGTAGAATTTTTTTTTTAATATAAAATGGACAGTTGAATGGATAATTTATGATGTGACAGAGGCCGGGAACAGAGAACCAAGGGACCGCGTTAAAGGGCGTAATTTATAGCCCATGAAAAAGAAAACTTGGGTCCCCCATGCTATGGGGGCTGCTCGCCTTTTGATGGCAGCTTCCATTCTTCTATACCACCTGTCAGGCACAGAGAGGACAATGCCGGCCCTTGTACATAAAGTTCTAGAGCTTTAAAGGACTCCCATACAAAAACGAAAAAATCAACAACCTGAATTGTCAATAATAGAGCAAAATTTACTTCATTTACTGTGGTTCTAAGCCATTCATTCTGTATAAATTCGAATATTAAATCTTAAAATTCTTCCCAAAAAAAGGTTCATCATCAAATTATAAAATGTTTACCCAACGTGAAATTATTATTTTTATTTTGTCTGAAGAATTGAATTTAAATATTTGAAAGAAGAAAATAACGTGAAATAGATTATGGTTATTATAAATAGAAAGTAGCCGATGTAAAGAGTAATTCGAGACTCAATTCTGATGTGAAAAAAAATTATGTTTTAAATTAAAACAAAGATAAATTCAAATAAAGTCTGAAAAATACTTTAATTGTATAATAAAAATAAATAAATGAAGAAAAGCCAAAGGTATAGACATCAACGATGCAACAACCAGCAATGTTATCCAAATACGACAACCTGGAATGTGCGGCTCTCGAATTGATAATATTAGATATTAGATTGGGGGGAGACAAAGAATGGTATAATTATTAACAAGGTTTAGTCCCTTGGAAAGGAGTGGAGGTCCCCCTACTATTGCCCCTTTATTGAGGTAACGCAATTTTAAACACGAGGGTCTCGGGTTTTGGATAAAATTAAGCGTTGGGAACAAGGATCTTTGCAAACACAGAAGGAACGAGACTAAGTTCAAATGCGAAATTACCAAATAATGATTTTTTATTTTATAAATGAGATTAATATATTAATATATATTTTTCTTGTATTCAAAAAATAATTAAAAACTATGATGTGTTATTTTTTATATCGTTTGTAATATTCCGTTTAACTTATGCAAGACGTATAGTTTGAATATTTATTTCATAGTAGTTCATCAATGCTAAGTACAAATTGGTACACATGAAATAAATAATTATTTTAATTGGTTAAAATTTATTATTTTTTATGAAAAAAATTTTATATTCAAATTATATCAATAATTATTTGTTAAAATTATTTTAAATATATAATTTATAATAATTTATTTTAAATTATTAAATATAATATATTTTATTTTGATAAGAAAGAATAAATAATTTAGCTACATGAATTTTTCTTGTAAAAAACATTTTTTTTTTGGTAAGGCATAAAATGACTTTATTGGGTCATTCTCATTTCAACGACATTATTTATATGCATCGTCGGTCGACAAAAATAAAAAATCGCTGGGGAACTATCGTGCAAAGAAAGGATCAAGATATCTGTCTGACTCAAAGACTTATCTGGCTATGAATATGATGAGTATCCTACGGCCAAAAACAACAGCAGCACCGTAGTTTCGAACAACTCGCCAGCAGAGAATCCATCCATGCACCACTAACTTTTTAAAGCCTCGTATCCATACCAAAAAGGGGCCAAATCTTGTAACTATCGTCCACTTTGTCGGCCTCTTTAACCAAATCCTTCACTCTCTATGTCCAGTCACTAGGAAGAGGAGGAAAGCAGAAACAATCCCCTAGATTTTTTAATAGGACATTCCAAGCAGATAGTGCTTCTTCTTGAACAGATCCTGTCCCTTCAACAAAACTTTCACATCAAGTTTATTAACAATAAATTAATCACAAACACAAGTGGCTCCGAGGAGATAAACTAAAAAAGATTATCAGCAGATAGATAAGACTAAGGCCCAGTTTCATCGGTTCAAAATGTGTCCACGTCACAAATCTAATCACTTGATAAAATACGTGATATAATTCTTTATATAGGGTGGCGGATCATATCAATAATTTAGACTCCTTGTCGCAATTGATTGTTCCTCACGATTGGAAAGTATGATGATTTACCTACAGATTTAAGAATTCAACCACCCCAAGATAAGTTTTCCCCATTTCCCACTTTGAAATGATAATGTAAAGACTAATCCTTTTTTTTGTTTTTTTACATACTATAATACAAACGTATGCATCAAACAAGGAAAAACATGGATGATGCTAATAATCAGGTGTGATGAGACGAGGAGGGCACTAGAACCAGAAATTTTGATAATAGTCGCCCTTTGCCTATTTTAGTTCCAGAGCCTTTAGATCAGATAGCTTGTTCCCACCTTTTCCTTTTTGTTTTTCTGGCCGAAAACTGCTGATTTTTGGTCTCCCTGTAAGTCTACCGTGAATTAAACTTTCCCCCAGGGGACCATAAAAACTCTACAAAAAAGGAAAAAGTTGAATATCAAATTTTGTTTCTTCTTTTGGAGAAAAAGAATTCTGTTCGGCTCTAGTATGCTAACACTGGTATTATCCTATCAAGCGAATCAGGCAAAAGAGTAAAAGAAGACGGAATGAAGAAATATATTACATTGCTTAGCCATGACAAGAAAATACAGAGATAATGAGGAAGAATATGAGAAGGAAATTACGATTCATAATAGACAAAATCAGAAACACTCCGCTACCCATTCTTCGGCAGCCACAGCAAATCCCTCTTGTCTATACAAAAGTTACAATCATCTTTTTTTTTTCCGAAAAACAAAATGAAAGAAAGAGCAGCACCACAAAATAGAGACTTCTCCGATCTCTCTTTCCCAGTCGTCTATTCACAGTGCTAATTATCCAAATCAGAAACATCATCAATATTCACAACGTCAGAAGAATCGAAGGCCACCGGTGTTGTTTTCAAATTCCCCCAAATAAATCCCGAGTTACCAGAACCCACCATCCAGTCCATTCTAAACGGATCAGCTTCACATCACCAACTCGGATACCCACCCAACATCAGGACCCGATGCAGCTGGATCAAGTCGATCAAGAGAATTTTCCTCACTCAGCTTTGCGTACATCCTTGCCCTTAGGTCTCTCCCAGACTCCACTCTCTCCATTGCAGGCTCCTCTTCAAATGCGTTACATTCCCAATGATCGAACCGACCAAGGCGAGGCCGAATCAGTGTACGAGTTGGAGTTGAAGGAGAGCTGCAAAACCCGGGCCGGAGCGCGGAGCACCTAGGAGAACCGAAACTTGATCCCCTTTGCAGGCCCAAGGAACAAGTATCGATTATTTTAGCCTTATCAAGCTTGCAATTACGCATAGAAGCAGCAAGTTGACTCACCAGATTAAATGAGCCACTTGGCGACATAGGAGGGGAGTCTGAAGGTGGCGATATTGGAGGTGATGCCAGGATAGAAGTAGGTGAAGAAACAAAGTCTAGACGGTGTCGTAAGGGTGAGCTAACATAATCCAAATCACCAGAACCGGACCCACTACCTCTCGGACTCCGCTGGGGCAACACTCGAAGCTGCTCCGGCGTGTGAGCAAAAAAACAAACCCTTCTTGTACAACTTGTACCATCTTTGCATGGCTGGGTACGGTAGCGAGCAGGGTGGAGCCAACATTCAAAAACGCCATGAGCAAACTCGCAGGAATCCCCCTTTTTACAGTTTCCTTTGCGAAAATCAGGGCAAGCATTTCCAGAGTAAGGGAGCTTTCTCGGGTCTCTTCTTCTAGCCTTCTCACCCGGGTGGGCGTACGGGCACTCAGTCCAGTCATGTGACCTGCTACGAGCGCATCTCCTCACCTTGAACTCGTACATCCGAAAATGGTCGCATGAGAATGCATCCACAGGTAAGTCGGATTCCTCAGTCAACGAGTCAGTCTCAAAGTCGTTTGACGGGAGGCAACAGTGGATGGACGCGAGGTAGTCGACCGGACAAGGACTGTTGGGCTCATTGCAGTTATAGCTAACGGAGGGAAAGTTAGCCATCAGATCATTGAATGGGTCCCACTTGGGGATTTCGACGGTGGGATTTGGTCGGATTAATTCTCTGATCATCATTTTTGGACATCGTTCTCTGATTCTCAGAGGAGGAGCGGTTCTCTTCGTTATAAACTGCATTTTCGAACCCGTAGTTGTTCGGTATAACCATGGTTTGGTTAAAAATCTACCGCCTCCGCTTCTTTACTTCTACTGTTACAGGTTAAAATAGACGGTAGATGTGACGGTTTGACAATTCTATGTAACGGGCTTATCGTGGCCGTTGATTTCAGTATTATATTAGTGGGACCCGGGGAAATTAGAGATTTGTGCTTATCTGTTTCTGGCTGGCTGTGGTAAATTGCAGCACCCATCGGTGATTCTATCGTTTGTATTTGTGTGAATTGGAAACTGATTGCTTGGGGCCCCTTTGGGGGATATTTTGAGGGTAGCAGTCGCTTATCGCGGAATAAACGGTATAAAATATCGTGAGTTAAGGTGATCTTTAACCGTAGTTCAAGGGAGCTTTAAAGCTGTTTTAAGCGACGTTTGGTCCGCGAAAAAATAAGAAGTTTTTTTATAATTTTGTTTTTTATAATATAATTTTTATATTTGATATTCGTAATATGATTTTTTTAAAGACTTTTTTTAATATTTCAATAATATTAAGAAAAAAATTAGTCTTAAATTATAAATTTTTTAATTTTTTAAAAATTTTTAATGAAATGTAAAATTTATTTGACTTTTGACCTAATAAATAATTTTTAGCATTTATTTTACTTTTTAATATAAACAAATTATATGATAAAATGAAATTTAAACTTACATACATAAAATATTTTAAATTTAGTAATGACTATCTTAAAAATTTTATATTTAAAAAATATAAAATTAATTTAATTTTTATATGTATTGAATTTTATTTATTAAGATAAATTTGTATTTAGTTTATATAATAGTGTTTAATTTATTTAATGAAAATAAAATAATTGTTAATATATTTTAAACAATATTAAATTATTTAAAATTAAAAATATGATAATATTAAATTATATGAAATTAAAATTATTTTAATATTAAATGTATTGAGATTGAAAGAGATTATAATTTCAAACCTTTAAAATTTTAACAAAAATCACATTTTTAAGATAAAAATGTAATGAATATTTTGATTTTATTTTTGAAATTTTAAAAATTTAATAAATATCATGTTTTTAAGATAAAAAATACATTGGATATTGAAATTTTATTTACAAAATTATGAAATTTTAACAAAATTATATTTTTAAGATTAAAAACATAGTAAATGTTGAAATTTTATTTTTAAAATTATTAAAATTTAAAAATGTCATGTTTTTAAAATAAAAAATGTAATTGATGTTGAAACTTTGTGTTTAAATTTTTGAAATTTTAACAAAAATTGTTTTTTAAATAAAAAAACATAACTGATATTGAAACTTCACTTTTAAAATATTGAAATTTCAATAAAAATCATGTTTTTAAAATAAAAGAACTTAATAATATTTCTACTCATAACAAAACTAAAATTAAATGCAAAATACATTTGCATAATATTATTACATATAAAATTTAAAATACATTTGATTAATATTATTATATATAAATTTTATTTTGAGGGCTCTCCCTAAAATTTCAAGAGTAAGTTTATCACCCCTTTCTAACATTTATATAGACCTTATTTCAAAAATCGATTTGTGTATTTTTTTTTCATAAAATAATTAATGTAAAGATAATAATTAAAATTATAAAATTATTTTATTAAAAATGTAAAAAAAAATTTTTTAAAAAAACTTAAATTTAAACAAATTATTAAAGATATTTAATAATTACATATTATTAAAGATATTTACATATTTACATACTTAAAGATATTTAAATATTTTTTAAAAGATATTTACATATTATTAAAGATAATATAATAAAAATATTTTTTAAATAATCTTCTAATCTTCTAATCTTCTAAACCAAATATAAAATTTTATATTTTATAAATTAATAAAATTCAAGAATCAGTATTTCTCTTATACATTTTCAAAACTTACTTTTTTTTTTATTGAAATTTAAGAATTCACAAAGTAAAACGACCTTAAAAATAAAATTACCGGTACCTTCAAAGGTCAATCTCGACGTTTCGGATATATTGATACGATATTTTAGCGAGAAATCCTAAGGTATATACGGTTTTGGTGGATCAAGAAGTTTATTGACACGTAGACGGTTGCAGACAGTGGCAGCCTTGCACAAATGGACGGATGATTTGGGTTCGTGCAATGGAGCCACGTGTCATTAACTCTCCTGCGTAGCGAAGAACTACATAGCAGTTAAGAATCGGCCAGGTAGGCGGTGTCACGGATACCATTGCGCAGTTTAGCAAGCTCAAATCCTGTTTCTCTAATCTACGAATTGGGCGGTAGATATTTCATATTTTCATGGCGGAGCTTCTGTCTGCCAAGCAAGCAATTTTCCTTGACCTGTTTTGAGAATCTACGGTGAAGTTCAATGCTTGGTGTCTTCAAGTTATTTATTTACTAGCAGAAGTGGCGGTTGGCTTGTGCATATATTTACCATTTTAACCATTTGTTTGATCTTCATCTTTTTTTTTTTCATTTCAATCAAATTATTATTTTTAATGAATCCACTGAAGCCAGGAAAAATCGAAAATCTTAAAAATTAAGCTTGTAAAATAAATATAATTTTATTTTAAATTAAAAAATAAATAAATACAATGTTAATAAAAAAAATAATTTTAAAAATTTAATTCAATCCAATAAAAAAAATCGATTGGCCTTTGAATCAATCATGATAAATAAAAATATCTGATTAACTAGTCTTTACGAACAATGATGAAAGTAGTTAAAATGATTTTATATTTAATATTATATTTATTAAATTTAAAAATAAATAATGCATAATTATATTTTATAAATTTTGGTAAATTTAATAATTCTCAAAACTTATTTTGGTGAAGATAATTTCGTCTGACATCGAAACGGAAAGTACACGGAGGGGTAATGTACCTCAATTCTCCTTGATCTATGGAAATAAACGGCTGTGATCGAATCACGTCATAATCAAGGGATCATCTCGCAAACGGACAAAAGAAGCTCATTATCCCTACGAATAAAAATCCCATCCGCAGAAGTCCCTACAGTGACACCTAAGACGGATCACGTGAAATTAATCTCCCTGGTCAAAAAGATTGTACACGTGGTTGGTGGCACAGTGAGTTGGTGGTGATAGGCTTTGTCATGTGACTGACACCCAACCTACCAGATGCGTACGCGTGGCGTCGGATATGGATTATTGCCTCGGCTTTTGATCTCTCGAGATATCCACGATCTCGACTTTGCTTATTTACTGTTCCATGTTTTTCATTTTTCCCATTTTTATTGAGTGGGTGCTCAGGTGCTGCGAATTAAAATTTTTTGTTTTATTATTTTTATTCATTAATTTTTTTAAAAAAAATTATTTAATTAAAAAATGATAAAAAAATTAAAAAATAAAATAAGAATAATACATGAATACATAAATTAATCCCTTATTCTTATAAAATATATTTTATAAAAATATTTTTTTATTTTATTTTTTGCAAGTGAAACTCATTTAATATCTAATTTTTAAAAAAATCAATATATATATATGAGATTAACTTATAATAATATAAAAATTTTATAATTTTATAATTTTTTAATCATTAATTTTATTCAATTCAAAAAATAAAAAATAAAAATAAAAATTAATTTTATTTCTTAAATTTATTAAAATTAATATTTAAAAATTTGTAAAAAAATATAAAATGTTTTTATAACTTAATTCCTCTCTTAAATATAAAATTAAATAAATAATAAAATAAATATTTTATATATACAATAAGGTGGCTCGGATTTGATTTAATATTTATTTTTTAATAAAAAATACTTATATAACATCAAAATGAATAAAAACTTATTAGACAATAATTATTTTGTTATCCGTATTAAAAATTTTTTAAAAAAATCAAATCAAACACGTGTAGCTTGGACTTAATTGGGTCTCACGTTAAAAAAAATCTTTAAAATTTATGAATTAAAATTTTGAAAAAAAAGAAAGTGATAAAAAAGGCAAAAAAAACCTTATTATAAAATAGATCTCAATTTAAAAAACTTTGATATACTTTCAGTCTTTCATTAGCTTTCGAAAATCTGACAGTTTCATGAAAAAGAAATACTTAATATCATATTTCAATTTAACTGATATTTAATCAAAATCAAATTAAATTAAATTAAATTTATTTTTTGCTGGCTTGATTAATTCCAAAACTTAATTATTTTCGGGTGAATCGAGGATTGTTGAAAAAGGGTGAGAGTTTCGAGTTTAGGAAAATGGATTTAGTGTTTGAAATAGGGTAAGAAGGAAGTGTAAGAGGCGTTCGGGGAAAATGTGCTCTTTTAATTTATGGTTGTAACGAGTAAAAATTAAATTTTAAGTTTTAAAAGTGAGGTGTATTTAATAATGGATTATATAAAGTGTTTTTAGGTTTAAATAGAAATGCCTTAATTTTAAATTGAGTTAATATTATAAATGATTTATAAATTATAATAAAATATTTAATATGTTATATAAAATTTAAAAATTTTAATATTTATTTAAATTATAAATTTATTAATTAATATAATATTTATTTATAATGTAAAAAATTTTAAATTATTATACATAACGTACAAATTTAAAATTTTTTACATTATAAATAAATATTATATTAATTAATAAATTTATAATTTAAATATTATAATAAAAAATTTTAAATTTAAATGATCGTATTAAACATTTTATTAATAGTTTATAATATTAATCCTTTCGAAATTGGTGAAATTGCTCTAAGAAAACTCGAAATTCATTGGTTTTGATTTAGGTTAAAGCCGTTGGGCTTGCTGTATGCAGAAGATGAAGGCTAATCATTCAACTGAAACGGGCCTGTGTATTCTCTTTGGGTGTATTTATAAAAGAAACTGCAATCATTGGTCCACTTATATGGATATGCTTGGATATAGTGAATGGTACAAAATGAACAATATGTGATTCCAAAGTTTGATCATCACTGGTGATCATGAAGTCTAATGGCATGTGGAGAAGGCAAAACTTTATCTTTAATTAACTTGCAGAACCAAGAGGTTAACAACAATGAGAAAAAGGAGCAAAGTTTTAAATCATATTGCAAATGTTTAGCCTTTTCAAACATCAAAATGCTATGAGCCTGCAAATAATTATCCGCGGGCCCTTCTAAATTTAGTCGCCATGGTCAGTTCGTTGAAACCGCTATTAGAATCGAGTTTCGACTTTAGCACTCGGGGCCTTCCGTTACTAATCCATGGTTGGATTAAGTTCAAATCGAAGAAAGAAAGCCGAGTTCTAACAGACCAGACCAGAGGTTGCTGTAGCAGACCCAAATCCAGCTTAAGGTTTTTTCTTTTTTAACTTCTCTGGTGGGAAAGACAATCTCGGGATTTCGGGGCACTTACGTCATCACACAAAAGGGTGAAACTATCCATGACACTAGTTTTCGTAGATGAAGAACAGGTGGTTCAGGTGTGACAATACACATTATAAAAATTCAATGATGTTTCGCCTGCTAAGTGCTAACATTCATTCTTTTCTTTTTTTTTTTTTTTTTTGGGCTATCGACCTTTGTAACTCTAGCAACCTCATGAGGATTTAATGGATAGTCTGTCTCTGCTATACGGGGTCCAATGGGTTTCAGGCTGAATCTCAAGGGTGTTTTCCCAGTTCCCTCTCATTTTCTTGCCAATTCACCTACCAGGCTCCCTCCTTCTGGTAAGTACAATGGGTTTCAAACCCACCTTTTGCTTCTTTCTCTTCCAAAAAGAAAGTTCAATTAGTTACTAGAATTTCTGACTCGGTTAGATTGTGGTGATAGTAAAAGTGTCAGTTAACCACCAGTTGAATTTGTATTGCTGTATTATTTTAATGTTAATTGAAGCTGAGATGGAGGTTATCATCCGTGTAGGAGTGCCAAAATGATGTCTTGTCCTAAAATTAACGTCAAATATGAAAGTTGGTTACTTTCTGTTAAATTATAAGACATTATGCAGTCCATGCAATGGATTTCCAAATCCACATCCCTGGTCTTATCTTATATTTAAGTTGCCTGTCTTTGATATGTTATCATTTTTTTATTTTTTTTGGTTTTAGTCACTTACATTGATTTTACCTTAACACAGTTAGAGGGAGGGAGGCTTCTTTTAACTCAGCTAGGCTGTCTTTCCCGTCTGTAAATTCTGATGAAGGTGTGTTTCTATTAAAAGATCCTGTAAAAGCATCCGCTTCATCTGCAGCTTCGCAAACATTATAAACTGGTTGCTTAGAAATTGAAGAAATGAAGGTGTGATTATATCAAATTGCTGCTACTAAGCTGCATAATTCCTAATTGTGTATATCATAAATTTCCACTCTCAAGTGTCTTGTACTATTCTGGATTTTTTTCTTCCAGGTAAACATTGACAAAGGATCACAGTCACACAGTTGTTCACATAGTATGATTGGTAAAACTTATGAACCAATTGGAGGGAACAAATCTTAACAGGCATGTAAGGCATCACGTTATAGTTTGTTAATGGAAAATCTCAACATTTCAGAGGAGACATTTATTGATTTAGATATTTTAAGATTGGAGAGGGAAATTCTACTACAACTAGGAAGGCTTGGAGCTCTAAAATTATTCAATATCTGTCCGTCTAGGACTTGTAAAGCTCCGAATATTTCGGACGTATCTAATGTTCCTGATAATACTAGAGAGTGCAATATGAATGGTTTGGTGGATCGATAATTTGCTCTAGAAAAAAGAAACAATGGCAAAAGGGAAGAGAAAGGGCAGTAGAAAGCCCCGCTATAATTTCTACTCAATTGCTGCCTTCAAACACCCTGCATGGACGCTTTCAAAAATCCAAAGTTTCTTCGGCAAAAAGAATGTCGAACTCTAGAAGAAGAAGATTGATAATTGCTAGAAATGAAGCAGAAATGTTAAAGGGAGTTAAGGTTGTCTTAAAAGTTTAGTATATGGTATGCATATTCTTTTGTCACACGCATCTTAAGGCAATCTTTGACTGCTCTATACTTTCCTAAGCAGGTGATCTCAAACTTGGAGAGGATTATTAGAACAACTTTTGAAGAGGAAACTGGGGGAGTTGCGAGCTTGAGTTGCTGGGCAAAAACAGCCGGAGTTAATGAGAAGGTGCTGCAACAGCATTTGCGTTTTGGTTGGTACTGCAGAGATGAGCTACTAAGGAGTACACGCTCAGATTTGTCGATAAGATGATACCGGAATTTATCCCAGATTTGTCCATAAGGAGCCCCAAAAAAACCTGTGATGACACAGCACATGAAGGAAGACATTCGCGATCTTTTGAATGGTTTGGAAACAAGAGAGAGGCAAGTGATGGTTCTCCGTTATGGGCTCAAGGCCCCCCCCCCCCCCCCCCGAGTCTCTTGATGAGATTGGAAGGCTTTTTCATGTAAGCAAAGAGTAGATAAGAAGGATAGAGATGAAAGAAATGACAAAATTGAGGGAAAAAGAAATATGCAGAAATTTAAGCCATTATTTGGATTCGTGGTTGAAATAGCTCTCACGTTTGCTGTTTTTGCTGTCAGAGCCTGGGAATACAACTTTCATTTTCCAAAACTATGATAGATGAGTTGCTGGCGAAAGGAATCACCATCTTGAAGAGGTTGGCAACAGCAAAAGAAATAAAAATTGTAGATTCACCTCTACAAAAGTTTGAAACCAACATGATGCTTCTTTGAGGAAACTTGGTCATTGTCATGAGGTCATGGGTATTAAAATTAGATTGACAATTATATATTTCTATTGTTTCAAATATGTATAAAATATAAAAATTATTATATCATAATTTATATTCACAAGTTAAATATAAATTTTTTTTTATTTTTATTAAATTTATATATAATTTTTATCAATTTTAAATCATATTATTTTAAGATTGTTTCATATATTTTTTGGCAGCACGTTGTATATAAAATTATCATATCTATCTTAAACTAATAATTTTCACCTGCAAATGATTACTTTTGTCTTAATTTGATTGATTTTAGTATTTTTTTAATCATTCTTACGTCATCTTTTGTTATATCGCATAGCAACTCTGCCAGAACTGGGCATAAAAAAATTAATATTCGTGGTAACCATCAAACTCAGGCAAATTAAAAATGATATAAGGAATGAATATTTCTTGTGATCTTCTGTTTGTCTCAATTTTGGACAGTGTTTTTCCAAGTGAACTATCAAACCCTACAATTTGACAAAACCTGTTGTCATTTTTCCGGTCGCTTGCAATTGTGTGGTTTATACTGTTTTCCGCTTCCCCCGGATCCTCCAATCCATGTTTGAAACATGGAATCTCTCAGCTCCCCGAATCCTTGTATTTGTCCAGAAGGATGAAGGGTAAATTCGTCATTTGGATTTCATCCAATGTCAATATTCCGAATTGAGTGGGCCCTAGTTCAATCTCCTCAGTCCCTTAAGAATATTTTCGTTTTCTTGCCTTCCTATTTTTCTACTTTTTTTTTTTTTTAAAGATTGTAAAATCTTTGTGTAATAAATTAAGGTCCAAAATACTATATATTATTTAGGGTGATAACTTTTTTGATTAGAACGAATTCAATTTAATTTTATTTAGATACTGTATAAAATTATAATTTTTTTAAATTTTGATTTAATTTAAATTTTTATATGATTTGATTTGATTTGAATTAAATTTTATTAGTTCAGTTTGATATAATTCATTAATTTTTTTATTTTATATTATTTTAATATAATTTTTAATATATTTAAATATAAAATAATTATTTTTATTTTATAAAAATTAATAAAATATATAATTCAATTTGATTTTTTTTGTTTTTTATTGTTTAATCTAAAATCTGATTTAAATTTAATTTATATATTTAATATCTAAATTTAATTTGAATTGAATCAAATCGAACATTATGATTTTAAATTAATTTTTAATTTTTTAAATTTTTTTCTCATTTTTAATATTATTATTTAAGAATTCTTGATTCAAGATTCATAATTTGTCAACAAATATTGCTTGTTTTTCCATATTCATTATAAATTCTATCCGAATAGATTTTGATCATCAATTTAGCTATATTAGAATAATTTGTAAATTATAGTGAAATATTAATATAATATTTAAATTTTAAAAATTTTAATGTGATATTAAAATTATAAATTTATTAATTAATATATTATTCACTTGGCTAATTTCATATAATAATACGTTAGATATAAATAATTTTTTAAATATCATATTAATTAATAAATTTATATTTTAAGTATAATATTAAAAATTTTTAAAATTCATATACTGTATTAAAAATTTTATTATAATTTAAAGATCATTAATATATTAACACAAAAAAATTTTCAAATGCTAAAGTTTGAATTTTAAATTTATTAAATATTATATTTTAAAAATGATTATATAAATTAATTAAATTAAATCTTAAATTTAATCTGATATATAAATAAACAAACAATGGTTTTACACAAATAATCCAAAATAGGATTAAAATCCTAATCATACATAAACAGAAAAAATTTCTCCCTAAACAACAGTACCACTTTTAACAAATGGCAAATGATAAATACTTAATTTCTTTTAGTTTGCAGTTGCATAAATTTGGCAAAGCTAAATATTTAAAAAGATTAATATTATTAATGATTTTTAAATTATAATAAAATATTTAATATAATGAATTTAAAAATTTTTTAATACAATATGATTTGTATAATATTTTAAAATTAATCATATTAAAAATAAATATTATATTAATTAATAAGTTTATAATTTAACTTTAATTATATATTAAAAATTTTTAATATGATTTAAAAATCATCGATGAATCACCCTATGTCAACTACCAGAAGTCTTCTCGGTGGGCCAGCCCTTCGTGCGAAGCATTCACTTGGCTTGAATTTACTCCACGTGTCTTAGCCTTCTTGCTAAGAAAACTGCTTCGTAGTCCGCTTTGCATTCACAAAACCATCTTGTGGGAAAAAAACAAAGAAAAAAAGATCCAAAACCTTCCACAAGCCTCGGTTAAAATCAACGCCGTCGTTTTAAATAACCTTTGCCAGGAGGTTGCTGAAACGCTCTCTAACTAAGGTTTGAAGAGCATTAACTTCCACAAAAATCTACAACATTCAATCTTACCAAAATCCGATTACATGTCATGTTAGACTGGCTTTAAAACTGAAAAAATCCATCCAACCAATCAAGATTCGAAAAGCAACCAAGCTCAGATAAGCTTTACTATACTTTATCTTTTCCTAATCTTCTTCACCCAAATAAAGAGCTCTCTCTCTCTCTCCTTGTACTTCCCTTCTTCTTCTCCCCCTCTGTGAAAAGAGCACATTCTCTCTCTATAAAATACTTCTTTTTTTGGTTGCAGAGAATTGGAGAGAAAATCAATTTCTAAGGTTTTCAAAATTATAATAAATTTCTCAAAATTTCATTCAAAATAATTGTAAAATTTGCTTCTATTATTGTTTGTTTTTTCATGGTGCTTTCAACAGTTGTTGTTTCCGTATGTTTCCGAATCAACAAATTTACTCCAAAGCCGAATCTTAACCCTCCATTCTAATGACTTTCACCAGCAGTGAATGGCTCTATTTCACTCTCGCGTTCTCCATTTCTTCACCTTCCTCCTCTACACCACTCTCATCTCTCTTTCCTCTTCGACCTTCGAATCGGATTTTTTTATAATTGATTCGGATTCGGAAGCTCTTTTGTTCCATCAAGACTACTCTCCTCCCGCACCTCCTCCTCCGCCTCCTCACGCCCCTTCAGTATCTTGCACTGACGATCTCGGAGGGGTAGGTTCTCTGGATTCCACGTGTAAGATTTTGGCCGATTTGAACCTCACTCGTGACGTGTACATAGAGGGAAAGGGTAATTTCTACATCCTGCCCGGAGTTAGATTCCATTGCCCCTCTTTGGGCTGTTCTGTAACCCTAAACATCAGCGGAAACTTTTCCTTAGGCGAAAATTCGACTATAGCTACTGGTACTTTCGAGCTCGCGGCTCATAACGCTAGTTTTCTAGATGGCTCGGCCGTCAACACTACGGGATGGGCTGGAGACCCACCGCCACAGACGAGTGGGACACCTCAGGGAGTAGAAGGAGCGGGCGGCGGTCATGGGGGCCGCGGCGCTTGTTGCTTGGTGGAGGATGGTAAGCTGCCGGAGGATGTCTGGGGCGGAGATGCTTATTCGTGGTCATCATTGCATGACCCGTGTAGTTATGGGAGTAAAGGAGGGACAACGAGTAAGGAGGTGGATTACGGAGGTGGAGGTGGTGGCCGGGTAAAATTGGAGATTAAAGGGTTGTTGGAGGTGAATGGGAGCTTGTTGGCTGATGGGGGTGATGGAGGGAGTAAAGGAGGTGGTGGATCCGGTGGTAGCATCTATATTAAAGCTCATAAAATGTAAAGTTTCTCTCTTGTTAACTTTGTTTCTTAGGGTTCTTTTATGTTGCTTTGGTTTATTTAGTTTCCAAAGTTGGATGGTTAGTTCGTGTTGTTTCTGTGATAAGTGAAAAACATAAATGTAGGGAATAAAAAGAAGAAATGGTTACCAAGTAGCAGAAAATATGATACTTAAGTGGCTGTTTAGTGACCCTGCTAAGGATAATTTTGAGAGTAAATAATTGTTGATCCTAACAATTACTTGTTTGAAAGCATTGAATTTTCTTTCTGGTAGACTCTTAGTTGTAGAGAAGACTAGAAAAGAGCAGAATAGTTTGTAAATGAGAGATGTTCTAAGCATAAGACTATGGAATAGTAATGATGAAAGTTCAATTAGGCTGGCAATGGCATTGGCCGATAATGAATTGAACTCATTTGATGAAAACTCTATTATTTCCCCTATAACGCATAGTTACTAGAGTGCAGGATATTGATGAAATACACCCTCAAGTCCACTTTATTTGTTTTTCAACACAGTTTTGCGTTAGTGGACATACTACATGCTAGTTATGCAACTTAGGTTAAGTCAATGTGGAGAGCTTGAAGATTTCTCCATTTGTGGTTAGCATTTTTCTTATGCAATCATTAAGTTGATGCCTGGGGCATCCGTTGTTGAATGTCTGGGTGCTAGGTAATTTACTTAGTTTTAAACTCCATTTGTTAGTTGTAGGAATGGGATTTAGGTCTCGTTATTATTTATGCTCCATTTAGGGCATGCCTGATGTATTTTATCTTAGTTTTGTATAAAGAAAGACTTGGAACATGGTGATGTTAGGTGATGAATCCTATATTATGTATGCTTAGCACTGGTCTGTTCTTATGCTTTATTTGCCTGCAATTCTGGAAATAATTTTCTTTGTCTTTCATTTGAATTACCTGACTCTCATAGATTAAAACTATGGGTTAAATGTCATTATATTACCTGGGTATAATTAGGGAATGGGGTTTAGGTCTTGTTATTATTTATGCTCCATTTAAGGCATGCTTGATGTATTTTTATCTTATTTTGTTTTAAAAAAACCCGGTACATGGTGATGTTAGCTGATGAATCCCATATTATGTATGCTTTGCACTGATCTGTTCTCATATATAAATAAGGGTTTTAATGTCATAGTGTCTGTTCTGTGAAGAGCAGGACTGGAAGTGGCAGGATAAGTGCTTGTGGAGGTAATGGTTTTGCTGGTGGGGGTGGTGGAAGAGTTGCAGTTGATGTTTTCAGCAGGCATGTTGAACCAAAAATTTATGTGCATGGTACGGTGTTTCTCTATTTTTTTTGCCATTTTTCTATCGTAGGAAGAACCTCAGTATTTATTAAGAATAAGAAATTAAAGCTTGTTTTTTATTTAACATTTTTAAATCAGTTTTTTATTATTAGAGCATTTTGAATTATAGTGATGCCTTTTGATGGTGAAATAAATGAATAACTTTCATAATGAATGAACTATTGATGGATGAAAAGCTTGGAAAATTACTAATCTTTGAGAGCTTTCTGATTTTATCATTTAATATTTTTTGTATTTGTTGTTTGTTTTCTTGTCCCATTTAGTACATTTATGGTGACTGCTTGGTAATCAATTGATAATTTTCTTGCAGGAGGAATTAGTCGTGGCTGCCAAGAAAATGCTGGTGCTGCTGGAACCCTTTATGATGCTGTGCCTCGAAGTCTTACCGTTAACAATCATAATTTGTCATCAGATACAGAAACCCTTCTTCTAGAGTTTCCTTACCCGCCACTTTGGACTAATGTCTATATTCAAAATTGTGCCAGGGCCACTGTTCCATTGCTTTGGAGTCGTGTCCAGGTTTGAGAATTTTGTCTTTATTAAAAAATGTTGATATCTTCCAAAACTCATGATTATTACCTGGTTTTAGTTCTTATTGGTTTGGGTGCTTCAAAATGGCTTTTCCAGTTTTTATTTTCCTTTTTATCCATCTAAGCTAATAGTAAGTTTACTTATCTTTAATATTTGGGGTTGTCTCTTTAAGTTTTTTTTTTTTTTTGGAGTTGCTACCCTCTTCTAGCTCCTCTTTCTGCGTTGCATATTTTATGGTTATGCTTGTAAAATTTCAGTAGAAAAATTTAGGTTTGACATGAGGAATCTAATTCTAGTTTTTTGTTCCTTATATAGGTGCAAGGACAGATAAGTCTTCTACGTGGGGTGGTGTTGAGCTTTGGGCTAGCACATTATGCATCTTCAGAGTTTGAACTATTGGCAGAAGAACTGTTAATGAGTGATTCTATAATCAAGGTGACTGATACATTTTCTTATGAACTTGAATGATGAAGTCTCATTTTTTTTTTTTTTTGGTATCATTATGTGAGGCAATATTCTCCATATTTGCTTATCAGTTTTGGTCTAAAGTCTTATTGTTGTCATATGGCTAAGTTGTTAAGTAGTTTACACGACAGAGTACCCTTCTTGAAGTAGTTTATTTTTTTAATTGAAGTTTTATCTATCTGTTGTATGATTTTACCCATGTATTTCCACTTCATTTGACACATTTTCATTTTGTTAACATGTCTTTGTAAGTTCTGAAATATCCTTTTTGAAGCTGCCTGATGATTTCTACTGAGGGTATTATATATCAGCGGTCTCAGCTGCTTTCTATTTATTTCTGCTTCAGTTGACCATGTCTATCCCATATTTCTTTTTGCCTATTTATAATATGCTTATAGCACTTTATGATCTCTCTGTTTGACACACACCAGGTCTACGGGGCTTTACGTATGACTGTGAAAATATTCTTGATGTGGAATTCCAAAATGCTAATAGATGGTGGTGAAGACGCAGCTGTTGCAACTTCATGGCTTGAGGCTAGTAATTTAGTTGTTCTCAAGGTGTTTAATCCACTGCAGCTTTGCCATTTTGGTTGCATTTTCTTAGAATGTAATTATTCTTGACAACTCCCTCCTCCTTCTCTCTTTTCCATACCCAGGAATCATCAGTCATACATTCGAATGCAAATCTGGGAGTACATGGACAAGGTTTATTGAATTTATCAGGACCAGGAGATAAGATTCAAGCGCAACGTCTGGTCTTATCACTATTTTACAGTATTCATGTAAGTGATCATTTTCTTGTGATAGTTGATTTGTTGTTCTCAGTTCAAAGTTTATAAATTTTGTTGGCTGGTGAATTTCTGATTTTATATGGTTAAAATAAAAGTAAATTAAGTTTTCTGAGAACATTTTTATTAGGAGGCTAAGGTGTATGACTGGTTGAACTTTAATGGTTGAGTGACAGTTTTGGATAATAAAGATGCTTCTTTAGTTCTCTAGTGGTTACTCATTAAGTTTTACTGCTCTTTCTAAACTTGCATTTTCATTTGTGATCCATACGCTTGTCTTCAGTTGTAGTAAGGACAATGATTTCTTTGTAGTTTCACTGTGATTTATAATGCTAAGCATAGTATAAATTTTTTTTATGGAAGCCATTTACTGGTGGACTGTTTTTCTTTTCGTTGGAGGATAAAGCAATGTAAATTTCTTGTAATTCATAGTTCTTTTATTGATTTTCTTTGCTGCCATATTCATGTACATGCTGGTGGATTAGACTTCTCTCGCCACCATCTAATGATTTAATCATCATAAAAGGTAAACAGAAGGGTGTCACTTATATGTACATGGCCACATGTATGGTATAAATACTCGTGCATGCCATTCACCAGTTGTCATGAATCCTTGCTGCAGGAATTGTATACTGTGTGCTGGAGATTTGTATTGGTTGTACTGTATGACTAATGAATTAAGTATATCTGTTTTGTGTGAAGATTGGACCTGGATCTGTTTTACGTGGTCCCCTAGAGAATGCATCATCTGATGCTGTGTAAGTTTTGATTTTCAGTTGTATCGCCCTTGTATTAAAATTCTATCACCCTTGTATTGAGGGTTTGTACTTTCTTATAATATATCTCATTGTTCCTCTTATTGTGTTTGGCAGGACACCAAAGCTTTATTGTAATCTCCAAGATTGTCCCATTGAACTACTTCATCCACCTGAAGATTGCAATGTGAATTCGTCTTTGTCTTTTACACTCCAGGTGTTTATTCAATATAGTTGTGCAGTAACAAACTTAGTAAGATGCTTGATTCTGCTTATTTAACTGTTTCATTAGTTTGGTTTGTAGATTTGCCGAGTTGAGGATGTCACTGTTGAAGGTCTTATTAAGGGATCTGTTGTTCATTTCCATCGAGCAAGAACGGTATCTGTACAGTCTTCTGGAATAATCAGTGCATGTGGGATGGGTATGTTTCTACATTGTGGTTTAGGTTCTATTTTCTTCAATTACTATCTATCTACACGTCCGTGCGTGCAACAGCACATGTACACAAACATATCTGTGCACACAAATCATCTCCACCATAAAGATAGTCTTGTATACCTTTTTATAATCTCTTGTAAACTCTTTAAAAGTCATATCTGGATGAACTTGTTTTTGTTCTTATACAGGATGCATAGGTGGTGTGGGTAGAGGAAATTTTTTAGACAATGGTATTGGCAGTGGTGGTGGCCATGGTGGTAAAGGGGGGCTTGGATGTTATAATGGTAGTTGTGTTGACGGTGGTATTTCATATGGGAATTCAGAGTTGCCCTGCGAACTTGGTAGTGGAAGTGGAAACGAGAGCTCAGCTGATTCAACTGCAGGTGGTGGTGTTATAGGTAAGGTTTTTGGGTCATTTTTTCCATGGGCATATATTTTACAGCTCTTTTTCACATTTTAGTTTCTGAAGATTGTGATAGGTAAGTCTTAGCAAGGGTAGTTTGAGTGCCATTTTATACTATGGTGTCTGTTTCCTCTGAAATGGCTATAGGATTAGGTGATATTTTATTGATCATGCTGGGCAGCTAGAACTTTAGTTCAATTGATTGGTTGATTTGCAGTTACTGAAATATGTCTCTTTCATCTTGTCCTAGGATTGAAGTATCATGATTGTTTTAACTTATAATCTACCTTGGAAATGTTGAAAAGGTTTAATTTTGTTATATCTGAAAAAGGGGAAAGGAAGGAAAAAGTTTTAATTTAATGGTTGAGCTACAAAATAGTTTGCTGTTATGAATCTCAACCATAAGAATAAAAAAATTTTAATCCTTCCCCCTTTCTATCCTCCCTACCAAACATAGCTTTAGGAACAGCAACTGCTTGTATTTAAGTTTGATCCTTAAATTTTCATGAGATGTTGTGTCTGAACAGTGATGGGTTCTGTGGAGCATCCGTTGTCAAGTTTGTCTGTTGAGGGTGCTGTGAGGGCTGATGGAGAAAGTTTTGAAGAAACTCTCTGGCAACAAGAGTATTCTGTTTCTAATGATTCAAGCATAGCTCCTGGGGGTGGCTCTGGTGGTACTGTACTTCTCTTTCTGCACACATTGACTCTTGGCGAATCTGCTGTTCTTTCTAGTGTTGGAGGATATGGTAGTCCCAAAGGGGGTGGTGGTGGAGGTGGAAGGATTCATTTTCATTGGTCAGACATTCCCACTGGAGATGTGTACCAGCCAATTGCTAGTGTGAATGGAAGCATCTGTGCTAGGTTTGTTTCCAATGTAATTTCTTTTTCTGAATGTTAGGTTTCTGATGATCCTAGACATTTGATAACATTGCTAGGTCCATGCTATGTTGGCAATCAATACTTGGGGTGGTGAATGTCCACCAAATGATATGATAACTGCTAACAAGCTTTTCAACCTACAATCTGTCACATTCTCTGACTACTATGAAGTTTCTTCCTTTTTGTTTGTTTGAGGGCATTAGTGAATTTAGAAATTAATCTCATAAGAAAAGAATATAGAAATTAATCAGAAGCATGCCCATTTTTAACTATGAAGTGTCCAGTCCCAAATATTATTACATGGGGAATGTTTTATGGATATGTTAGAAATACAATGGTTTTATTTGGAGTAACTGTTATGCTGCAAGTTTTATTATTTCATGAAGTGATTGGTATTCTTTGCTTTTTGTTATTTGAGAATATTCTAGATTGAAGCCTTAAACTGCAAATATGGTTTTCTAAGATTTGCTTTTGACTATATTTGGGTTATGGACTTAAATTGTTATGCTATAATGCTTAGATGTCATCTCAGTAATACGAATCAAATGGTGAAGCTTGTTAAGATTTTTAATTTACCTTGGCACTTTGGTTTCATTAATGATTAGTTGCTCCTTTATTATATTGTTGCTTTGAAGCACCTGCCTGGAACTATATCTTGATGAAATTAGTAAAAAAATGTATACAACAGGTTATCTGTTACAACCAGTACAGTCACTGCTTGCCAAAAGGGCTTCTTACTTTGCTGTTCTGTTTGACTAGGAACTGTGTCATTATGACTGGTAAAGCTTGTTTATGGAGTTTATTCTTGATATCATGGTGATGTTTTGATTATTTTTACAGGGGAGGATTAGGTAGAGATGAGAGTGGTGGTGGAGAAAATGGAACTGTGACTGGTAAAGCTTGTCCAAAGGGGCTGTATGGGACATTTTGTGTAGTAAGTTAGTAATTTTGTTGCATTTTGAAAATTTTCAGATTCTTTTTGTTTAATGTGGAATTTGGTAGTCGGGGCTGTTCTTTTTTATGAAGCACTTGGAACTTTAAAATTATTAAATAACCAATTAACATGAATTCTTCATTGAAATGCTTATTTAAGTTTAAGAGGAAAATTTTCTACCTAAGCCAATAATGTGGCTGAATTTACAGGGCAATTTAATATGAATGAATTTTCTGGAGGAAGTTTATTATGTTCTGATAGTTGTGTAATTAACATAATGTTATCCTCCAAATTGGTTGGAGCAAGTCTATCTTTTCATCTCATTCTACTAGTTTGTAAAAATCTTTTTTCTTCTTTTGAACTGATACAAATTGATTAATAGTTTCAGCTGTTCTAGTTTGTTAACTAATTTTGTGTCTCCAGGAATGTCCTCTTGGTACTTACAAGAATGTTAGTGGATCTGATAGTTCTCTCTGTCATCCTTGCCCTGCTTCAGAGCTTCCCCATCGTGCCATTTATATTGCTGTTCGAGGTACATTTGAATGTTGTCAGTGTTGAGTAGATTATATTTTATATGAGATTCAAATGGCATACTACTCTTATACTGCAGTTTTTGGATTTTTTGTCCTGAAGGGTATTTTTTTTTTCTGATTTCATGTCCTGTTTAACATAAATTAATTTCAAATGTTTTCTTCATTATGGTAAATTGATATTCAAAACCTCCATTCTTCACAGGTGGCATTGCTGAAACCCCTTGTCCTTATGAGTGCATTTCAGACAGATTTCACATGCCACGCTGTTATACAGCCCTTGAGGAGTTAATTTACACATTTGGGGGACCGTGGTTATTTTGTCTTCTACTTATGGGTCTTCTCATCCTCTTAGCACTAGTGCTTAGTGTTGCGAGAATGAAATTCGTTGGGGTTGATGAATTACCGGGCCCAGCTCCCACTCGGCATGGCTCTCAGATAGACCATTCTTTCCCATTCCTGGAGTCATTAAATGAGGTTGTATACAATTTTTATATGTGGATTTTTTTTATAATTTCATAAAAGTCCTGGCCTTCTATGTTGATATTTGTATTCTTTATGATGTAATTTCTCCATGCTAGGCTATAAATTCCTTTCCTCTTTTGCTCATTATACCGCCCGGATGACTTCAATTGTGCCTTTTTGTCCTTTTCAGGTATTGGAAACAAACAGAGTTGAGGAGTCACAGAGTCATGTGCACAGAATGTATTTCACGGGTGCTAATACTTTCAGTGAACCTTGGCATCTGCACCACACTCCTCCAGAAGAAATAAAAGAGATAGTGTGAGTACATTGCTTTCTTTTCTGTTGAAGTGCTTCTCATACAGCACTATGTAATCTCCAATTGTGCTTCAGACTGGATTTTATTAATATTTGATCATTATTGTTACATATGGATTTATGTCCTTGACCTGGCAGATACGAGGGTGCATACAACACATTTGTGGATGAGATTAATGCAATAGCTGCTTACCAATGGTGGGAAGGTGCAATTTACACCATTCTCTCTATTCTTGTGTATCCCCTTGCTTGGTCATGGCAGCAATGGCGCCGAAGAATGAGATTGCAACGATTACGTGAGTTTGTGCGATCAGAATATGACCATGCTTGCTTACGTTCTTGCCGTTCACGGGCTCTCTATGAGGGGCTTAAGGTTTCTATTTACTTCTATTCTTGGTTTAGTTTACTAGTATGGCTTCATTTTACTTGGTTTACATCTTGTAGCTGTTATTTTGGGGCCAATCTTGTAGATATTGTTCCTAACTAATCTTATGTACCATCTTGAAGTTCTCATCAACCCTGGAGATTTTTAACTTTTCTTTTCAGCTTGTTTTATACACATGTTCAAGAAATTACTAGGTTTTGTTTCTATTGAAAAAACTAAGAGTAAAACTGAATGAGAAAAAAAAAAAAAACTAAGAGCGAAACTGAGAGTATATTGAAAAACTTCTTTGTAGAATTATACAAGCACCGCCTTAGATTTATATACAGCTAACTAAAGGCTAAGCTAGGAAACTAAATCTTCCTAAAACTGATCCTTATAATTGAGGGATTGTCTATCCAAAATTTTTTGTCCTTAATTCTAGGGATACAAATACGTACTTCTAGGGATGCAAATATATACAGATTACAACAAACTGTAAATAAGTGTTTTCCTACACTCGCCCTCACGTTGGTGAATAGGTGTTTTCCATTCCTAGCTTGGAAATAATTTCCTGAAATGTTGCACTGTTGAGACTTTTAGTCACCACATTTGCAAGTTGACTCTTGGTTGATACATACGGTGCACAACCTACTGTCTAGTCTCTCTTTTATGAAGTGCCAATCTACTTTAATATGTTTTGTTCTATCATGTTGCATAGGTTTGTGCACAATGCTTATTGCAGACTTGTTATCACTATAGAGTCTCATTGGTTCATCCCACTTGATCTTCAAGTCTTTCAGGATAATCTTTAACCATAGTAGTTCACTAATTCCTTGAGCCATTGCTCTAAACTTTGCTTTAGCACTTGATCTTGTCAGCACCACCTAGGAAAGTGCAATAGCCTGAGGTGGATCTTCTATTAGTTGTTGTGCTTGCATAATCAGCACTTGTATTTGCCTTTAGAACCAGCACCGAATATCTTTTGAACAAGATACCTCTTTCAGGATTGGCTTTCAAATAGTGTAATACATGGTAGACAGCCTGTAGGTACACTTCTTTAAGATTATGCATAAATTGACTTATCACACTCACAACATATGCTATATCTAGTCTAGTATGTAAGGCATAAACGAGTCTTTTAACTAATCTCTGGTACATCTTTTTATCTACGGAAGCCTCTTCATTAGCTTCTCCAAGTTTATGATTAGGATCAATAGGAGTATTTGCAGGTTTACATGCAAGCTTCTCGATTTCCTTCAATAGATCCATCACATATTTCTGTTGTGAGATGAAAATACCGTACCATGAGTGAGCTACTTCAACTCCTAGGAAGTACTACAATCTCCATAGCTCTTTTATCTCAAATTCTCTAGCCAAACACTATATTAGAGATTCTCTCTCTTTTTCATCGTCTCCGATTACAATTATATCATCAACATACACTAATAGAACTATGACTTTCTGTGAATTCGAGTGCCTGATAAATAGTATGTGATCCCCTTGACTTTGCTTATATCCCATTGCTAGCGTCACTTTGGCAAATCTCTCAAACCAAGCCTTAGGAGATTGTTTAAGGTCGTGTAAAGCCTTTTTCAACTTGCATATTTTGTTTGCTTCTAGATGATCTCTAAATCCTTGTGGAACCTTCATATATATTTCATTTTCCAAATCACCATGTAGAAAAGCATTCTTTATATCAAATAGTTGAAGTTGCTAATTGTAATTTGTTGCCTAGCATAACATAATACTAACTATATTCATCTTGGCAACTGGAGCAAAAGTTTCCTGATAATCCACTCCATAAGTTTGAGTGTAGTCCTTAGCCACCAACTTGGCCTTATAACTTTCAACATTTCCATCCGCCTTGTATTTTACAGTGAAAATCTATTGACGCCCAATTGGATTTTTTCTTTTAGGCAACTCTACTAGTTCTCATATCTTTTTTTTCTCTAAGGCCTCCATTTCTATTTTCATGGTCTGCCTCCATTTCTCATTGGATAATGCCTTGAATAATGTAGTTGGAATAGAGATAGTGTTTAGGCTCACAAGGAAATTTTTGTGGGATGGTGATAATTTTTCAAATGACGCAAAATTAGAGATTGGGTATAGTGGATGTTTAGTACATTATCTGGTTCCTTTTCTAATTGCAATAGGTAGATCATAATTAGTAGTTTTGGTTTTAGGAGATTCATGCTCATTTTGAAAAATAAAGTCAGAGATTGTAGTCACCTCATTTCTAAAGTTAGGATCAAGTTCTTGGACTTGCACTGGTTCAGGAGTTGGAACTTTTCTTCTTGAGCACACCTATAATTCCTTCATAGAATCAAGAACAGAATTATTCTGAGTTATAGCTTCTGTGTTTAGAATGTATTCAGACTCAAATTCAGTGTTTGACTTTGACTTAAAAGAAACAAGTTTAGACTTAGAAGAATTAATGAGTGCAAATGTTGAGGAGGAGGACAAGTCAAGCAAAAAGAAGTCTTTATCCTTATCTTTATGAATGAATTCTCCTCTTGAAGATAAGGTTGAGTAAAAAATGGTTTACTGTCTTCAAAAGTGACATCTACAGAGAGAGAATTTGTTGGTAGGAGGATGATAGCACTTATACTTTTTCTGAGTTGATGAATAGCGCACAAAAATACATTTAACTTCTCTTGGATCCAACTTTCGCCTATTATGATTGTGAACATGAACAAATGATATAAAAACAATTATCCTAGGGGTGAGGTTGTTTGTGGTATTAAAGTTGGGATAAAATTATGAGAATAGTTCCATAGGAGTTTAAAATCCCAAAACCCTTGAAGGTAACCTATTTATAATGTGTGTTGCAGTGAGAATAGCTTCCTCCAAGTAGGGTTTGGGTACATTTGCTTGAAAAAGTAAGGCTCGGGTTGTGGCTGGTAAATGGCTGTTTTTCTTCTCTGCCACTTTATTCTGCTGTGGAGTGTTAACATAAGATGATTCATGGATAATCCCCTCTTTTTGGAAATAGATAGATAGACTTTGGTTGAAATAGTCTCTTACATAATTAGACCTAAATCTCTTGATTTTTACTCCAAATTGATTTTGGATTATGTTTTGGAAGCTTAAAAACATACTATTCACATCTGATTTGGATTTAAGTAAAAAAATCCAAGAAACCTTGGTACAATTATCTATGAATGAAACAATCCACCTTACACCAAAACTAATAGGAATTGTAGAAGGACATCATATGTTACTATGAATCACGTTAAAAGGAGTAGAACTTATTTTGTTGCTAACTGGAAAAGATGCGTCTATGCTTTGCAAATTCACAAACTTCACAATAAAAATTTTTGACATTTAATCTTTTGAACAAAGAAGGAAACATGTTTTTCAAAGTTTCGAAAGAAGGATGTTCAAATGAAAATGATAAAGCCATATTTTGTCTTTATTGGGAGATTTTTCAAAAAGAAATGACAAAGGTAAACTATTCTTGATATTACTTTTGTTGTTTGATTCCTCAAGTTGGTATAATCTATCCTTTTCTTTAGCAAGTCCAATCCTCTTTCCCGAACTCTGGTTCTAAAATTCACAATAGGAGGGATAAAAAGTCATTTTGCATTTCATGTATCTAGTAAGTTTTTGTATAAATGTCATATTAGTAGACGATCGAGAAACATGAACATTTTTAATAACAAACAAGCGATTAATTTGAACATCTCTTAATCTTTCCTTTATAGTAAGTGAACCATCTACAATAACAATTTTTTTATTATTAGGATGCAGGGTACACGTACTAAACTTCTTTGACGAATGTGTTATGTGGTTTGTGTTACCTAAGTCAATGACTCAAGAATTTGTAATAGACTTAACCAAGACATTTAATCCCTAAGAACCAAGGACTTTACCTAAACTAGAGACCTTGCCCAAGGAACATACACTAGTAGGCTTTTCAAGGGGTTTCAATAAGCTTCTTAGTTTCTCAATCTTCTCTCTGTCTGGCTCTTTTTGTTCCCAAGACTTCTTAATACTCTGGTGGTTTTACTAGTTGACACTTTCTCAAATCGGGTGGTAGTGATAACAAATTTTGTTATCTTTGACATTGTTATCTTTCTTTGGACTGAAACAAGTCTGAACAATTAAGATGTAACTAGAAATGAGTCTTAGCAATGAAGGCTAAAGAATGGAAAAATAAAATGGCTGTGAAGGCCTTAATAGGGTTTGGCAATGAAGCCCTAAAATAGAAGTTGGCAATGAAGGCTGAAAATTTTGCTTTTCAAGAAGAGTAAAACTGAATTGGAAAAAAAAAAAAAAACAGTAAGAGTAAATTTGAGAGTATATTGAAAAACTTTTCTGGAGAATTATACAAGCACCGCTTTAGGTTTATATACAGCTAACTAGAGGGTAAACTAGGAAACTAAATCTTCCTAAAACTGATTTTTATAATTGAAGGATTGTCTATCCTAATTTTTTTTCCTTAATTCTAGGAATACAAATACTTATTTCTAGGGATGCAAATATATACAGATTCCAACCAATTGTAACTAAGTGTTTTCCCACAGTTTCTAAAGTAAAAAGAAACCAAATTAATGGACTGATTAAATGGCTCCTTTAAGACATGGTTAGATGGATGCTACATTTTTGGAGGAGAAAATGGTTACATCATGAGTTGAGCTAGTGCCATATCTGGCAATATAGTTGCTTTTCAGTCAAAAAGGCTAACACTGGAACACAGGAAAAAAGGTCCTACAGTTTAAAGTTAAACTTTTTTGAATTTACACATTAATCGATATTTATTGCTTTGAACAATTTTTTAATCTTGATACAATTGCTGTTAAAGCATAATTCTTGGACATAGCTTCAAACATTATATTCTGGTATTTGGTCACTGTAGGTATCTGCAACTTCTGATTTAATGCTTGCTTATGTGGACTTCTTCCTTGGTGGAGATGAAAAGAGAACAGACCTTCCTCCTTGCCTCCCTCAAAGGTTTCCTATGGCCATAATTTTTGGAGGTGATGGAAGTTATATGGCTCCATTTTCCCTTCAAAATGATAACATTCTTATCAGTCTTATGAGTCAGGTCAGTTCTCATGTTTTAACCATGTAATTGGTGAAAGCACAGGTTCATCTTTGAAATTTTTGTTATAACAAAGTTCTGTTAATTGTTATAACTCTTACAGTTAGTGCCCCCTACTACTTGGTATCGACTGGTGGCTGGTTTGAATGCACAATTACGCTTGGTTCGTCATGGACGGCTGAGAGTAACATTACGATCCGTCTTACGATGGTTTCAGACACATGCTAATCCTGCTTTGAGAATCCATGGTGTATGCATTGATCTTGCCTGGTTTCAGGCTGCACCTGGGGGTTATCGCCAGTATGGACTTTTGGTGTATTCTGTTCATGAGGAAAGTGAACCCATATCCTTGGGAAATACCGATGGAGGAGTCAGAACTGAGCTACTTTCACGGTAATGTGTGTTTTGTGCACTGTTATTTGTCTGAACTTGTACATTTAGTTCAATGTGGTTGGTACCAAGAGCATGTTGGCATATCTTGAGCAGGTATTGGGTGAATAAACAGAAATATATCCCTGCACAGGAATAGCACCTGAGGGGAATATTACACAGAAGCCCAAGGAACTAAAGTTAAAAGAGTAATTGTGCTTGCATTGTCTAATGGAAAGAAATTCAAATTGTTGAATTTGAGAAATCATATATATATGCATGTGTGTGTGTGTGTGTGTGTGTGTGTGTGTGTGTGTATGCATATGATGGAATCATTTGATGCCTAATTATATGGAATTTAACTTGGTCATTTTCATGTTTGATTCAGTGTGAAGACAATGTATGTGCAAAATGAGTCTGCTTATCTAAGAGAAGATGCGCTTTTAACCCAAGGTCACCGAAGTGGTGAAGGTTTTGCAAGGCGGAAGAGGAGTTACAGAGGGCTTATAGATACTAACAGCTTACAAATGCTTGAAGAGAAGAGAGATATGTTTTGCCTTCTCTCTTTCATAGTCCACAATACCAAACCTGTTGGTCATCAGGTAACTTGCATGAATTTAAGGAGTTGAATATTTTTTTACTTGTAAATTATATACAAATTTAAATGTTTCACTTAACACATTGTATTTTATTGCAGGATCTTGTTGGCTTAGTCATGTCAATGCTACTTTTAGGAGATTTTAGCTTAGTTTTGCTTACATTCCTCCAGTTGTATTCAATATCATTGGTGGATGTCTTTCTGGTTTTGTTTATTTTACCTCTTGGCATTCTTCTTCCATTTCCTGCTGGCATAAATGCTTTATTCAGTCATGGACCAAGGCGCTCTGCAGGTCTTGCACGTTTCTATGCTCTGTGGAACATAACATCCTTAATTAATGTCGTAAGTTCCTGTAATTTTTAATCTCTATTTCACTTGATAAACATGCCTTTTGTTGTGGTCTTCTTTTTGTACAATTCCTATGACAAGGAACAGCTGGTAATGGATTTCTGTGTTCTCTGGTTTTGATAATTTCAGATCTCAACAGTTAAGACCTATTTTCATTTAAATTGTCCTTGGTAGGATAGAGAGTTAGGAGAGGAAGGAGCTTGTGAAAAGTAAAGATGTGAATGGAATTTTCCTAGTTAAAAACAAAATGTTTGTAGGCCAGAAAAAAGAGGGTGTGGTCAAGGGAGAAGTATCAGAAAGTATAGACCAAGATTAAATTGGGAAACCTTAACTAGTAAAACATTAAATTGTGAAGTAAACAACTTACAGAAGGGTTCATAATGGTGAATCTAAATAGGCATTATCCCCACTCCCCCTTAGGTGCTGGAATTTTTTTCCTCCTATCTGCATTTCTCACTCCCTCCTGTCTGGAGTATTTGATGGCAAAGCAAATTATTTGTTTTCTCTTTCAATTTCTTATCTTTTTACTCTAATATCATTTGTATTCTTAGTTGCTTCAAGTAGGACAAAGCAGTAGCCTATTTTTTCTTCAAGCATGGTAATCATCATTCATCTTTCACCAGGGTGTTGCATTTCTTTGTGGGTATGTCCACTATAACAGTCAGTCGACATCAAGTCAAAGGATCCCAAACTTTCAGCCATGGAATATTAACATGTAAGTTGATGTTTTAGGGGCAAAGTAAATTTTACTGTGACACCATTCTCGTTTAACATGTGTGTTTATCTCCTTGGTGTGGTTTTGGATGCAGGGATGAAAGTGAATGGTGGATTTTTCCAGCTGGACTGGTTTTGTGTAAACTTTTCCAATCACAACTCATAAATTGGCATGTTGCGAATCTAGAGATCCAAGATCGCTCATTGTATAGTAATGATTTTGAGCTATTTTGGCAGTCATGACCATCATTTCAAAGGGATATACTTACACGTTAACAAGGTTCTTCTGTTCAGTTTTTTAATGCTCTATTTTTGTATGTAGTTTGAGAGTAACAAGTGAGTTCTTGACACAGAAGTAGAAATAGAAACAAAAGGAGAAAAAAAAATCAAAAGAACAATATTAGAGTGAGAAAGGCATTCGTTCTTGGTAAGTTCTCAAGTTTTTTCTTGTAATTTTGGTAGTAACCAATGTAAATAAAGAATTGAGCATACTAATGTTTTAGTGAGTTCATTTGTATATTTATTTCGATCTAAAGGTGTATTGTAGGGATCCACCTTTTGAAGCTTCACAATTGACAAGCATCCATTTGGAGTTGACTGGCTAACATGTTTTAAAGATTTAAAATGGTTATTGAGGTTGAAGTCTCTCCTGATCTTAAATTTAATTTTCTTAGTGGAAGGACAGGCTTCAACTTTAAATGAGCTGTACTGTTCGGTTTGTCTCAGGAAGATACGTCTTACTGCAAATTTTCAACTAGGCAAACCGCTCCCTGGGAATTCCTGCCAAGGTTTAAATGTCTTGCCATCCAGTTTAACACTAACATTCCAGATGGTAGTCCTCTTCCCTTTGTTAAAATTACGCAATTACATCTAGTATTTTGTTTTTGTTGGAATGATACCAGAATCAAAACTATGTAAGCAAACTATTTAAAAATTAGTGGGATAGAGACAATAAGATAGCTCCTAACTTGAGTTGTAACAGATGACCATCGGTAGTATTGTTATCCACCTCAATATAAGCAATTACTTTCAAGAAAAATAAAAATTGAAGCAGTCGCAACTGAAATCTTCTTCATGGAACAATACAGGTACTTTGATCATTTGAATTATAGGATCTTTTAGAGCAGATTCCAACAGTTCGCTACCCTTTTCGTACTCTTTAGCATGTAACTTGAGAAGTCCATCAAGATTACTTTTGTGTAAGATGGAATTCCTTACAATAAACTATAAAAGAAATTAATTTTATTCTCTGAAATAACAAACAAATAATATATTAATCAAATGCAGTTAATCTTGCAAAGCACAAAAAAAGAAGAAGGTGTAACAGGCCCAACTACCCAACCCAAGACATCTAAACGGTTTGGTTTAAAAGCCCAGTCGCCAAAACAGAATGACTTCCCTATAATATTGAGGAAAACAGAGATTCAAACTGAGACCGATCAGATCGTCGGATTCTATAAGTCCTGTAATTGTTATAGATTCCGAATAAAAAGTCTACATATTTCAGAAGGCTGGTTTTACGGTGGAATTTGTTTCAATGGGAAATCAAAGCGAGCCCCTTTACTTAAAACACATTTTGACGAACATTTGGCGGGCTCGAAGGGCTTTGCTTCATCTAGTAAATTAAACTTTTTTTTTTTTTTTTTTTTACAAAAAAGCTTGTAATTCGTTAAAAAAAAAAAGAACTAGATAACCCAACCATCTGATTTTGGTGTACCTGATTCGAGAGCTTGAGGCGGCGAACTTTCATCTTACCTACAATGCTTCATTCGAACGAGTTCAATTTATTCATTCTAATCTATCTTTTAATCTTCATTGCTAGCAGCTCAATTTTCAGTTATGGCAAAATGTAAGTAACCTAAAAGAAGATGGATTTTTGTGTCAATTACTTCTTGTCATTGTTCCATTGCGAATCAAAGAAAGTTGCCACTTTGCAGTTTTGCAGGCTTGACGACAGCGTTTTGAAAGTTGGGAAGGAGCTAGAGGAAACTTTGCTGTTTCGAATGGGTTCTCGAGTTTACCAACTACAAGCGCTCAAATCGTTAACTTGGTACAAAGTGAAGATATCGTATCCAGCTTCTGTATGTAATTTCTTTTCCATGGTTTGCCTCTTTGTGGCATTTTTATTTTCAAAAACTGATTTTTGCTTTTTATTGGATGATTCCTGCAAGTTTTTCTTCGCAATTGAAGATGGGGAATTCAGATTCTGGGTTAAACAGGAATAGAAGAGTGTTGAATACAGAAAATTTGATATTCAAAACTGATAGTCTTGACACGATTAATGATCAGGTTTTGATTATGCTACTGAAATTTTTTTATTCAATAATTCCATGTGTGAAAATATATACAGTACTAAAGAAGCTCATTTTTGCTCAGGGTGGGCTGCACGTTTTGGTGACTGTGGAGCCTCAAGATTTTGTTGCAATGACCAACACAAATTATGGAGAGTTCATCATCTTTAATATTTGTAAACCAACTATTTCTTTGCTCATCCCTTTTGCTCCTTTTCCTTCTTCTAATGCAATCTGTTCTGATTTTTGCTTGTTTGCCAATCCTCTTTGTTTCCCATCTCTTTCGATACTCATTTCTGTACCCCTTTGATTTATCCTTTTCATGAGAATAGCATTTTCATACTATACCTAGTTTTCACAATAGCTCAGGTCTTTTAGGTTTTTTTTTTTTTTTTCAGTATGACTGATAAAATTATTCATTTTTCAGTTTGCGATGAACTACTGTTGGGCATCCCTTACAAAGCTTGGTGGATTGTAGTCTTTGCCTTGTTTAGTGTTGGCATTGATTTATCCTCGCTATCTTCCATCATATCTGCTAGTTAGTCAGAATGTTGCCAAGCAGTCTTGAGACTTGTGTTTAAGATACGGAATAATTGTATCATTGTGGAGCATCTGTTGATTGTTATGTATGGAGAGGTGTTGGCGTAACAAAATTTTCAGAAATGTAACTGTAGCAAATTTTGGGAATGTCAAACATTTGCCTTAATTCTTGTTCATGTTTATGTTTTCACAAATGCGATACTCAAAATGCGGCAAATGCATCTACATGTTTTATTATGTTTTTGTTTGTTGTATGTTATAATTGTACATTTCTTTCTTCTCAGGGCATAATATCAAATGATATATTCAGATTGAACCTGATCCCTAGCTAATTGAAAACAAACGTGTACCCCAAACCAAATGAGAATATACGTGTAGAAGAAACAGGGAAAAGACTAAACTACAAAAGGCTTTAATTATTTTTTGTCCAATTTTTCTTTCGGTCCAAGAAGGTCTGGATTTCTGTCCCAAATATCATTGAAGAGGGCCTCTAATCTAATCCGAAAAAACCCTGACGCAGAAGCTGGCCCCAAGTCCCAGCCCAGATCAGATGATAGCCTGTTCCCCAATAAGAAAAGAACGAATCGCTGATCTACGTGCCTAACACCAGCAGTCCTTAGTTCTGCATTTTCACCGTTAGCAATTTTAACATGCACCAGTAGCCAAGCTCACTTCGGAGATTTTGGAGGATGGAAACTAAAAAACTAGAAACTAGCACCCTTGTTTTGCCTCAATACAACTCAACTTTGAACTACACCTGTTGCTTAAGACAAACAGAAACTTATTAACAAAGAAACGAAATTTTTAGCTACGAAGAGAACCCGCCAAAGCAACTTGTACAGATTACAAAGCCCAAAAACACAAGATCTACGATGCATGAATGCAAATTTGATAAAAAACAGCAAACCAAGATAACATCACCAACTTAAAAGAACCAAAAGACTTTAACCCAAACCAAGCCCATAGACTAAACACTTCAATTCAAGATCCTTAGCCTTGACCTTGAGCAACCTCCTGAGCCTTGTGCTGCACATATTGTCCATACTCCGTGGCCTTCTCCGTCATATCCCTAGCCGTACTTGCAAGCTTAGGCATTGCATAATCCAGCTGATCCGCTTCTGGTGGATGCTTCCCTTGCACGTAATTATATATCCACGATAAAGCCGTGATCGCCGCCTCGCCACAGCTACCCGAAACAAGAACCCGGTAATCACCAGGAAGATGACTATCCCAGCTGGGACTAGAATTGGACTGAACAGAACCATAAGTGGCGTGGCCATGATTAGGGCAATTAATGTCCCTGTCGAGATTAACCCTGACAGGAAAAGCGGCGTTGCAGCCAGTGTGGTTGCAGTAAAAAACTTAGCCGCCTGGCGAGAAGATGGAGCTGACTCATATAACTTCTGAGTCATCAGTTTGTTTTGATCATTCGACATCATGAACGGCTCTGATCATACAACGAAAAAGATCAAACAAAAAATGGCAACAGAGAGTAAGAAAATAAAGAATGTTGGGGAGATGAAAAGAGGCCGGTGTGGGTGGCATTATAAGGAGGTGGGGAGAAGGGATACGTGGCGGGAGGTAAAGGTGTGATGTCCCCGTGATGTGTGTAGAGGCAGGTGAGGGTATCTACTAAACAGGGCGTAAGGTAGGCATGGTTGGGTCTGGCGCGTGTTTGGTTTGCATGGGTGCAATTTGATGAGGATATGATGCGTGCTCCAGAATCGGTTGGGCCTGTTTAGTAACGGATCCTTCCTTTCAGTTCATAATTCATAAAGGCATTTCGAGGTATTCTGTAAACGGTGGTGACCGGAGCTACACGGTAGAAAGTATAGAGTGAATGGAATGAGTCGATGTGAATGGAATGAGTTGAGACTGAGTATGACTCCATACCATTCATTTTTTATCCAAAATCAATTATTCGGAATAAACTTTTATACGATTGTTTTTCTATAATTTCTTACGTTTGCGTTATTGATAAAACATTAATTTTTAATTTTAATACTCAGAATTTAAATAATTTTAAATATAAAAAAAATATTTTTTTTATAATTAGTCAGTGGGTTAAATTCTTTAACACTATTTAAACATAATCCTTTTAACGTTCAGGTTGGGCAAGATTCTTTATCATTAGGGATATTAATGGATAAAGTATGAGTGTAAAGCATTTTTTGTTGTTATCCTTAAAATTTTATATTATATTTATTCTTGTATTCACATTCAACAAGTATGTTAAATTTATCCCCATAAATATTTAATAAGTATGAGTAATTTTTATACTCATAATTTTTTAAAAAATAAAAATAAAAATTATTTTTTAACTTTTTATAAAATTTTTATCTTATATATTTAGATAATTTTTATAAATATATTTGATATATATTTTTAGTAAAAATTTATTAATTTTAATTAATTTAAAATAATAATTTATATTATTTAATAAAAAAATTATTTATTAAATATATAGAAATATATAAAATACGGGTACGAGAAGAATGTTACATTACCTGTCTCTATTTTTACATCTAATAAAAATTTAAATTTATATCCATCATTTTTCTTATATATATAATATAATATCTATCTCTAATTTTTCATTCTCATTTAAATAAAAAAAATCAAAATTTTCATTAAATATAGATAAAATTAACATTCTATTTGCCATGAATTTTAAAAGGAATGCTAGGGGCAGCAGGCATTTCAATATTCACCTTTCAGCTCTAGAAATAAAGGCACCCACTTCGTCTTATATTTTAAGTTTAAAAGCGGTTACATGCTTGAGATATTTCAAGTTTCAAATTTTTTTTACATCAACATTAATTTTAGAGGATTATTTTGATCCAAAAATTTTATAGGGACTACAATGTTTCATGCTATGTTGATTTTTTTTTTTCAAAATATTCTATCATCAGTTTTTCAATAATGCTTTTTAATTTAATTTTTTTCATAATCAAACTTATTTCAAACATTTTTTAAAATCTTACTGATTACATACAAAATTGAGTATATTACTATCACTTCTTTTCCTTCAATTATTTTTAATTGATAATTTTTTTTTGTTCGATATAACATTTAATGTTAATCAATCACTAAGTAATTAAGCAAGAACTATCCAAGTCCAAATTTGAAAAGAAAAAAAAAAGTACCGACTAAGATGCACTTCAAAAAAAAATTAATTAATTAATCAAGTATAGAAAAGTAATCTTAAAAAAAAAAATAATGAATCAAGTACAGAAAAGTAATCATGAAAATATATATAGAAAATAAATTTTCTTATGGCATATGAAAATGAAAATAAAAATTATCTTATGTGATCGCTTAGAGTGTTCAATGTAGATAATAAAATATTCAATAATATTAGAATTCTATTGAATTGTAGTGTAACAAATCATACAAAATATTCTTTTTACCAATAAGCAAAAATAAATAAATAAATAAAAATTTTAATGAATCCTCCAAATCTCTATTTTACTATAATATTACATTCAAAATATTTCCTAAATAGGCGCTATTAAATTTGGAGAATTATAAATAGAAATGCTAAATTTACCCTCAAAAAAATTCTTTGAAAGAGATAAAAAAAACTTTTTGAAGTTTTCTCCAATTTGAAAAATTAATCTTATTTCTAACAATTGTCATAAATATCTATATCTATATCTATGTATATATACATACATACATATATATATATAAAGGAGAATCGAGTTTAAATAAAATATATATAAATCATAATAAACATAAGTAAAAAATTGAAAAAACAATATTTCCTTATCTTGTGTCTAACTCAACAAAAAAGAATGAATAGAAAAAAAAATTACTGCTAATGGAAAAAAAATGAGACTTTTATTATTATTATTATTATTATTATTTTATTATTTTGTTTTTCACCATCAAGGGCTTTCCCTTTTTTGTTATTTGAATATTTGATTTTGAAGTTTTAAAAGCTTGCAAGAGAAGCTACCAAGTTTTGTCTTTCTTCATGGTCAATTATTTATTTTTTTACACCTAAAGTTCAGACAACTTTTAACAATGGGTAATTGATTTTGGACTTAAAAATGAAAGGTTAAATATAAAATTGGTCCTTGCATTTTATATTTTTTGTTATGTAGGCATTTAAAGAATTAGATTTATGACATTGGTATCGAATTTTAATTCTATAAATCATTTTACCGTAAAACTTAATTCTGTTAAAAAAAAGTTGATGCGTCTTAAACGGCCAATTAAAGAACATTGGTTGTCATTAAAATTTCACATCATGGAACTGAATTTTCACGTCAGATATTAATTTCAAAACAAAATAAAATTTTAACCCTTTTATTTTTTATAACTTAACAAAAAATAATAGTTTCGATGGAGAAATTGCTTTCTTTTCCTATAACTTTAAGAGGAAAAAATAGTCAATAGAAACAAAAAGAGATTATAATGGTGGTATTTAGGGTTTGAAATCGTATGAATTTTTTTTTTTTATATTTAGGGAAGTTGCTTCAATCTTTCTTCTTTTTTCTATGCATCATCTTCAAATGGCAAAGAGTAAATCCACCTCAAGTTCAAAATTAACAAACCATTCAAGAAATTTTCTTTGTTATTATGGATTAAGGCTGTAATTTGTATCTCCGCCACTCCATGGAATAAAGGGAAGAAATTTTGTGGTTGCCTAAAATATTAAGATGTATGCCACAATATTGGACATTGAATTGGGTTTTGAGTTTGAATTAAATAACAAAATTGAGGATTTAATTGAATTTTGATTTAGGGTAAACTTAGAAAAGTGGCTACTTAATTCATTTTTATTTTGATTTTTTAGTCTTAATTATTAACCTAATCAATAATTGTTGAACAAATGGGTATTGAATTATATGAAAATATAAGTTTTGAGTTCATGCTGAATAACAAAATTGAGGATTGATTCAAGGTTAAATTAGAAAGTTTGGTACTGTATTATTATTTGATTTCGATTTATTAATATTATCATAAGCTATAATATTACATTTGTTGAAATAATGGGTACTGAATTCGTTAGTAATATAGGGTTATATTAAATTGTGGTAAATAATTTTTGGTTTTATGTTTAACCATAATTAGAGATTTAATTTTGGCTACTGATTCATGATATTTATGGCTATTGATTTATGATCTTTTAGACTTGATC